CACGTAATACGGCTTTCGCAAAATTCCATTGCCCCAAATAATCAGGTTGAGAGCACAGTTCCCTGATTATATGATAAAGAAAGTAAGACTTGATAACGCTGGTGAATTCACTTCCCAAGCTTTTAATGATTATTGTATGTCATTGGGAATTGATGTTGAACATCCTGTTGCACATGTTCATACACAAAACGGCATGGCTGAGTCATTGATTAAACGGTTACAACTCATTGCTAGACCGTTAATATTGAGAACAAAGCTCCCAATTTCAGTATGGGGTCATGCTATCTTGCATGCAGCGGCATTGCTTCAGATAAGACCGAGTTCATATAATAAATATTCCCCAATACAATTAGCATCTGGCCAGGAGCCAAATGTATCCTACCTGCGTGTGTTCGGGTGTGCGGTTTATGTTCCGATAGCCCCGCCACAAAGATTAAAAATGGGGCCGCAAAGAAGATTGGGAATATATATCGGTTATACGTCACCGAGTATAATTAGGTATCTTGAACCGCAAACTGGTGATATGTTTACGGCACGTTTTGCCGATTGCCATTTTAATGAAGATGAATTTCCAGCGTTAGGGGGAAGAATTAAAGAAGTTCCAAAAGATGTTACATGGTGCACACCATCTTTGTTGCACCTTGATCCCCCTACGAAACAACGTGAACTCGAAGTTCAGAAAATTGTTCATTTACAAAATATGGCAAATGAAATACCAGATGCATTCACAGATACGAAAAGGGTGACAAAGTCATATATACCCGCTGCAAATGTTCCATCGAGAATTAATGTTCCGGAAGAACAAAATGATGGAAAAATAGCAAATGAACCCAAAGTTCAGTTAAAGAGGGGGAGGCCGATTGGATCAAAGGATAAAAATCCCCGAAAGAAAAAGAAATTGGGAAAACAAAATGAAAATGGTCCAGAAGAACCACATACAGAGAAAGGTCTTGAAGACGAAAATGACGAAGAAAATCATGAGATTTCCATCAATTATGCCCAAGATGGGATATTATGGGCTAGAGATGAAATAGAAGATAATGATGGAATATTTTCATTCTCTGTATGCAAAGAAATTGAATATGAAATTGATGATCCAGATCCAAGGTCCATATTAGAATGCCAGAAAAGATCTGATTGGGAGAGAAATGGAAAATGGCCGTAGAAACTGAATTGATCTCCCTTAATAAAAGGAAAGTTTTTGGACCGATTGTTACAACACCTAAAGATGTACAGCCGGTTGGGTACAAATGGGTTTTTGTGAGAAAAAGAAATGAAAAAAATGAGGTGACAAGATATAAAGCCCGACTTGTCGCCCAAGGATTTTCTCAAAGACCGGGAATTGATTATGAAGAAACTTATTCTCCGGTTATGGATGCAATTACATTCAGATTCTTAATGAGTCTTGCGGCATCCAAAAATCTTGAAATGTATCTTATGGATGTTGTGACAGCATATTTATATGGATCACTTGATAATGATATCTATATGAAAATCCCTGAAGGATTGAAAATGCCTGAAGCATTAAGTTCCAAATCGAAAGAAATATGTTCAGTCAAGTTACAGCGATCACTTTACGGATTAAAACAATCCGGACGCATGTGGTATAATCGCTTAAGCGAATATTTACTAAAGAAAGGGTATGTGAATAATGCAATCTGCCCTTGCGTTTTTATTAAGAAATCTTCGTCAGGATTCGTGATCATTGCTGTTTATGTGGATGACCTGAACATTATTGGAACTCAAAAAGAGATTGATGATGCAAGAACTCATATGAAAGAAGAGTTCGAAATGAAAGATCTCGGAAAGACAAAATTTTGTCTTGGATTACAAATAGAGCATTTCCGAGATGGACCGACTCTAGATCAATCAAATTATACTAAAAGGATATTAAAACGCTTTTGTATGGATAAAGCGACTCCTTTGAGTACTCCAATGGTTAATCGATCTCTCGATACGAAAAAAGATCCGTTTCGACCTTGTGAAGATAACGAAGAAATATTAGGTCCTGAAGTACCTTATATGAACGCTATTGGTGGACTTATGTATCTTGCAAATTGTACCCGACCGGATATAGCATTTGCTACAAATTTACTGGCAAGATATAGTTCGTCTCCTACGCGCAGACATTGGAATGGAATAAAACATATATTCCGTTATCTTCAAGGAACAATTGACTTGGGATTGTTTTACCCTAGAAACTCCAAACTTGGTTTAGTCGGTTTTGCAGATGCAGGTTATTTATCAGATCCTCATAAAGCTAGATCGCAAACTGGATATGTTTTTACGTTTGGAGGAACCGCAATCTCTTGGCGTTCTCAAAAGCAGACATTAGTCGCCACTTCTTCAAATTATGCAGAAACTATTGCGCTTCATGAAGCATGTAGAGAATGTGTATGGCTCAGATCTATGACTCATCATATACAAGAAGCAAGTGGAATAGCCATTAACAAAGAACCGACAAGATTGTTCGAAGATAATGCTGCATGTGTTGCTCAACTAAAAGAAAGGCTATATCAAGAGTGATAGAACGAAACATATTCCTCCAAGATTTTTCTCTTATACTCAAGAGCTCGAGAAGAATCAAGAAGTCGATATCCAGTATGTTCGTTCATGTGAAAATGCGGCGGATC